TTGAAATCAATAAAGGCTCAGAGGGCAGGTCCCCACCCCATTTTATAAGGGTCAGGAGTCAAACTAGGAAGATACAGTAGCAAAAACAGTCCAAAAATTAAGAAGCATAAATAAGACACAGACCCAAGCATCAGGAGTCGAGCAGACAGACAAGAAGCCGGAAGGACAGCGGGGACAGCTTCAGGGGGAGTTATCAGAGCGACCCAGCTTACATCTGCCAGCCCATGGGCACAAAAGCTTCAGGAAAGTCTAGCTGACTTAACCATATGGGGCTGAGGAGGTCTTCGGCCAGTTGCCAGTCATTTCTTTTGTCCAGGAACCTCTGCGATGGCATATTTCAACCCTGGCTTCAAGGTTATGTGAATTCTGCAGAGTCACCGGAGACACTAGGAAGAGAAGTGGGGTTGGCTTCTCAGTCCTGCCTCAGAATCCAGCTCCTTGGCAGCCCCCCACCTTTCAGGACAGGCCTGTTGATGGGATGGCTGCATACTCAGCGCAAACCTGAACAACACGGTGACGTCTTTTGAGTGACAACCTGAAAACAAAGTTAAAAATTAAGAGGCAAAGCCAAATCCAGCCTCTCTGCTCCAAGATCCCAGGGTCAAACCTGGTGCTGTCTGCCACGTGACTTATTATTTATCCCTGTGAGGCGCCTGGGTGTGAAAGGGAATAGGGGATGGGAACTCCCTCTTTTTTTAAGCCAGCCTTAAAGTCTGGGGCTTAAAATACTGGTTTAATGGTGAAGGTAAGTGCTTGTCTTCTTTGGGGGGAAGGATGCTACTTTCCAATCTATCAGAGATCCACTAGAGAGAGGGAACTATTTGAGGGAACCTCGGAGGAAAGACATTAACAGCCACCTAAGAGTCTGCGTTTGAGAATGGTGTCTGGTTCCAAACTGAGGAAGGAACCTTCTGAGAGGGGTCATGAGTCGGTCAAGACCCCAGAGCAAGGCTTAAGGGAACACTGGTGCAGATGGACACAGTGGACGTGGGTCACTTCCCTGAGGACTCCGTGAGTATTGACTGTGGCACCCCAATGAGTCGGGCTGAGTGGATGGTGAAAGAAACAGTGGATCAGAACCAGCGAGGTTGGGTTGGTGGCCAACGAGCTTTTCCAGATTTCTACATGTATTTGAAATTGCCTCTCAGGAGAAGGAGGAAATGACTGAAGTTGTGAATAGGCATGAAGGCAAGAGAGCGTGTGGATGCTTCTAGAAGTCCCTGGTGTGCTGCCCACCATGCGGCTGGGAAAAGGTGCCCAGAGAGGTCATGGTTACCGGCAGTGGGCTGGAAGCCTGGAGTCGGGGTGCAGTGCAGTGCCGTCTCCCAACCTACCCCAAGAAAACCCCGATTCTAAAGCAGGGCCCTGGCTGGGGTGGGGGCAGGGGAGGGCAGGCTGTGTCTCCTGCAGTGCGCTGAGCCTGGGCCTAACTCACCTTCCTGTCTCCCGCGGAGGGGGCTCAGCACACTTTTTCTTTTGTTGTGATGAAATTCATGAATGAACGGACAGTGCAACAATGATGTGCTGTCAGAAAGGTTCTTTCAGAAGCTCTGTTCCCTCAGCGAGGTCCGCGGGTGGTGAGGGGGAAGGATTCTCCTCCTGGCGCGGCCTCTGACATTAGTGCAAGATAACGCCCTCCCCGCCCATCTTCTGGACTCCAGGCCAGGAGAACCCACTTTTAACAGAACAAGTTTAAAACCAAGTCAGCAACCCGTCAAAAGCACTTGTTCATGAGTGCGTTTTATCTGCCCGACGGCTGCACTTCTCAGGGACCTGAGGGGCCTGGTGCTGATGCTGAGGTGCTGGTTGATGCTGCCGAGATCCACACCAGGAGCCTTCCCAGGCGGGATGCTCTGCGGCGTACAAGGCGTGTCTCTTACCTGGGCTTAACTCTGACAGTCCTGGGAAGTCATAGCCTTCCCTACTTTTCCTACGGAGCAGTGAGAGCTCTCGGAGCTTATGAAACTCGCCCTGGTTTGCAGGCTGGGAACGACAGAGCGGGAGTCACTCTGGGCACCCTGAACTGCAGGTTGTTGCTCTTTGAACTTCGCGTTGCATTTACTCTGAGTAAACCAGGAGACTCGACTAACAGATGGCGCAACCCCAGGCTGCATGTTACGGGACTTCTAAGAGTGGGAGAAAGACTATGATAGCCAAATAATGCATTCGAGACTAAGAGGAAGAGGAAAAAGGTATTCTTTAGCCTACGCGAAACCGTAAGATCTATATCACCAATTTTATCTCTCTGTATACCCTGGGCTGTGTCATAGTATTATTTTATACAGATATAATTTTCCTTTAATTTCTCTTCAGTTTCCCTCTTGGTACTCACAACGTTGACACTAGGATTCATTCTTTTGTTTCCAAAGTGTCCCTCCTGAATGGGAAGGTCCTTCATAAAACCACATGTGCTCAATCGTCTGTAGTGAGACGGAGCATTATTTCACTGTCTTTTAGGGCACATCAGTCAGGCCGGGGCTCAGAACCCATATTTCTCAAGCTGCTGGGATCACATTAGAAAGATGGTTTTCATTACGATCCACAGAAAGATTCCGCTTGAGAATGGGCTGTTTGCCTGATTTCTGTATTTGTCTCATTCAAAGGAAACAAAAGGTCGACAACTGAAAGCCATTAAGGCAAGATTCAAAGTGATATTCAGAACCATAAAAGCTACATAGGGCTTCCCCCCCCCCCCCCCCCCCCCCCCCCCCCCGTTTGACGTCAACGGAGGATGGGAAGGAAGACCGAAGTCATGCGTTGTGTGACATGATTCCACCATCTTAGGAAACACAAGAAAATGTAGTGTTTTTTTTTTGTTTTGTTTTGTTTTTTAAGCTCTTAAAGTATTTTTCATCATCAAATTTCTTTCTGAAATAAATTTTTAAAAAGTTGATTTAAAATTTATAGATTTCGATTTAAGATGCCTCAAAATGAAGATACCCTACTGTGTTTTAAGCTTATGGTTAAAATAGTTAGACTATAAAAAGAAAGAGTATTCACAGGTAGAAGCAGCAGCCGGGCCTTTAGAAACCCGACAGGCTCTGAACTGTGTGGTTTCGGGAATTTTCATGCTGTCTGCACCTGTTTTTTCATCAATAAAATGAATATTTGGGACAGAAAATCTCTGAGTCCCTTTTGGCTCCAAGTTTATAAAGTCCCTGAGGAGCTGGGGAAGCTGAGTGGACACAGCGGTGGGTGGGTGCAGTGCACTGCTGCCTCCAGCAGGTCCTGGGGTCTTCAGAACCAGACAGGTCCAGGAGGAGACGTGCAGACTCCAGCTCTGCACCCGACAGCTCCAGGTGAGCCTCGCAGGGCTGCGCGGAAGGCTGCAGGGCCCAGGGCACCTAACCCTCAGCCAACGCCGGAAGCCTTCAGGTCAGAGCAGTGGCCACCTGTAGGTGCTGCTCTGCTCCTGCCAGAAGTTGAGCCTCCACTTCTGTCCATCCTAAGCAAACAGGAAAATCTGAAAACTTAGAGGGGGAGTCATGCTACTCAGACTTATAGAGAGATCTGCCTTAAAGACTACTCTTCTGTCCATGGGATGAAGCCTAAATTGTTTTAGAAATAAATTTAGTTTCTTCTGGGTATTAAGTGGATATCTACTAATTATTAGAAAAACTTGGTATATATGGAAAATCAGAAGCAATAAAGTGACCGTCTTTCTCTGAACCTCAAGAACAGCCTCTGGGAACTTGTGTGAACCTGTTTCTGTATACGTGACCTGCCAATTCTTATCGTTAGGTTAGTTTATCTCCAATATTCTGCTGTCACAACTAATACTGCAAAGGATAGTTTTGAACAGAATTCTTCACCCGTATCGTTCCTTAATTTCCTGTATCCTAAGGTCGTAGGTTATGAACTTCGGTAAAGATGCGGATAAGTCTTTTAAAGCAGGAAGAGAGCAAACCTCAAATCATGAAACATAAATACAATACTGTTTTTTTAAAAAAAAAGTTATGGCAGAAGTAGTTCGAGGAAGAATGGAAAACTAGCAATACCTTCAGGATGGGGGATTTTCCTAGAAGAAGCAGATGTATACACCCCCAAAGAGAGTTTAGTACACAAACATCAAATTAAACAGGTCCATTTGGACTCATGAATTTTCTTTGCCTGTCAAAATGACTGAATTTTAAAATAATGTAGTAAAAAATTCCCATTTAGTGTAATTTTGTAAGTGAAGGAGTATCTTGTCAGCCCAGTAAAGTGTCCAAATTGTGTGAGGCACACAACATTTTTTTAATATATTCATATATATACACACATATATATTAGTTATAGTTGGAGACAACACCTTTATTTTATTTATTTATCTTATGTGGTGCTGAGGATTGAACCCAGGGCCTGGCACATGACAGGTGAGCGCTCTACTGCTGAGCCCCGACCCCAGCCCCAGCACACAACAGTTGGAACCTTTAGGTGTCTGACAGGGAAGTGCCCTGCAGCTCCCTGCTTCGTGTTCAAAGGGGAGGCCACGGAACACGCTCTATTATCCAGAGGGAGCGGAAGCAAGGTCTGAATGGAAGAGAAGCCTGCTCCGGCACCTGCTCCTCAGCTCCCTGGTTTAACTGCACTTCTTTCCTGAGCTGCTGCAAGTTGCACTCTCACCTTTGCCTGGTTCTCTGGGGCTCCATAAGTCATCTGTGGTTTTCCTCCTTTATTCCTGCAGCACCATTCAGCAAGGAGCCTCCTCATTCCTGAGCAGATGAGGAAATGGATGGGGAGAGAATTGAGGGAGTGACTGGGGATATCCAGCAGCCTGACTTCCTTATGAAATCCTGTCCTCCTAAAGCAGAGCAGGAGCGCACCCAGAAATCAGGTGGCTGTGTAGGGACCGCACCTGCTGCTGGTGCCCAGAGGTGGCAGGTTAGTGGGAGGAAATTATTTGTGTGTCATGTCTCGGCTCCTGTTCTCCCTACAGATAGAAGCTGGTCGTGGTCTCAGAGATTCAGGGAAGAGGGACGCCCCACCACTAAGCAAGGCATTGTTGCCAGAGGAGCTAGATGGACCAGAAGCCGACCTCCAGGAAAGGTGAGCCAGGCTCTGATCCCAGGTTGCAGGAGACGGAAGCCTTCCTGGAGCACTTCTCACTCCCTCCTCTCCCTCCCCTCGGGTCCTTTCCCATCCCCCCCCCCCCCCGTGTGGACCCCCATGTAGCATCAGACCCAGCTCCAGCCCTGATTCCTGTTGCTTTGCCTTAGAGAGCCCCTTAGATTAGCTGCCAGAAATTGTATCACATGATGGATAAGTTATAGGATCTAAAGAATGAAATGCACCTTGGAAACGTTATTTTTAAGCCAATTCCTAACCTCTGTAGACATCCCCCCCACCCCACCCCAGAATACCCTTGCCAAGTGGCTGGCTGTTTCCCAGAGCCAGCCTACAGTAATGTGGGAATAATCCATTGCAGGCAATTAATCCTATCCTAAGCCTATTTGGCCATTAAAATTTATTTCTTCTTTTATTTTTTTATCTGTTTCTTTATAGATTCTCTCTATTTTCCTTTACTCCCAGTTCTTTAAATATGCAAATAATAATAATAATAGATTCTGACCCATCCTTCACATGAGAATCCTCCCAATATTGGGCCATTGTTCCACTTCATGGGAATGATTTTTTTTTTTTTTTTTTTTTTTTTATTTTGAGACAGAGTCTCACTAGGTTGCTTACAGCCCCACTAAGTTCCTGAAGCTGGCTTCGAACCTGAGATTCTCCTGCCTCAGCTCCCCAAATTGCTGAGATTACAGGCGTGAGACACCACGTCCAGTGGGAGTGTTTTTTAATGTTACTTTTGCTTCAAAAAATGGCTCTACACGTTAATTATTTATTTTAAAAGCTAAATCCATGTGAAGCCAGGGCTTAGTGATATACAGCAAAAATGTATACCTAATGGAGGGGGTGGAAGTCCCCTATCCTCTCTCATCTGTAAAAAGAGAATCCTTGACTGTGCACCCAGCTTAACCCAAATGCAGCTGTCAATGCATGAACGGGCAAACGTTATAACACACAAATGTGCACAGCAGATGAGACAGACCATGGACTCATGACTCAGGGACTGGGGTTCCGTGCTTGGCTCTGCACTGTCTTCCCATCCACTTTGTCTTGGAGCTCTGTGAATGCTGTACTTGGGGTTTGTGTCATGTGCTTCCCACATCTCTGAAAGAAGGCTCATCCCAAGATCCCAGATTCATTGTCATGAAGCCAAAGAATATGGCAAAGGAAGACTGCAGAAAGGATCGTCTCGGTGGAAAGGACATGGGGTCGTCTGATATCTGAATTTCCTTCTGACTTAGCCAGGAAAGAAATGGGGAGAAGGGTCTCAGTCAGGGTGCTCACTGCATGTTCTTCTGTCTAGGGCCAGATTTCTGCTCACTGCGCTACGGGCTGGCTCTCATCATGCATTTCTCAAACTTCACCATGATAACCCAGCGGGTCAGTCTGAGCATCGCCATCATCGCCATGGTGAATGGCACCCAGCAGCATGGTCCATCCAATGCCTCCACCCAGGGGCCTCTGGCAGACACCCTCCACAACCCAGGCAGATCCGCCAGGGAATTTAATACTAGGGTAAGTGTGATGGAGAGCAAGGCTCTTTGTTGAGGAGAAAAAAAAAAAAAAAACTGAAAGGAAGGCTTGGGTCTTCATGCTGCAGAGTATGGAAATATGAACTTTAATGACAAAGTAAAAGGAACTGGAAATATTTTTGAGACATTGATTACTTCTGTGATAACAATAATCTTTCCTTCTTCTTCTTCTTCTTCTTCTTCTTCTTCTTCTTCTTCTTCTTCGGTAGAGGAGATGTAGGAAAATATGTAAAAGACTGTAAAATGGAACAAACAGACTACGGGTATCCTCCTCAGTGGAAAACCGCTGTCTACATGCCTCCTTCTGGGCTAGCCAATTGGATTTTGATATCTGCACCTTTCACTGTTCTTAAGTTATTTTGCAGCTCTGCAGTTATATACAGTGAATAAAAATGCAAATGCTTCTTGTCTATAGCTTTGCAAATGAATTCTGTCCTGTGGAGAGTCACCCTGTACACTCCTCCTCTCAACAACCCCCATCTCACCCAGTTGGATAAACCAGTTTTGCCGTCTATTTAAAATCCATTTCAAAATGACTGCCCACTTTAATATGTGTGGTTCTTTGAATCTTCCTTTGAACGAGTTGTAACTGCTTACTGATACCCTCATTGATCAGTGAGTTAAATATAATCTGTGTCACAGTGCATTTTGTATTTGTATGAGAATCATGATTCTACCAGTTTTTAAAACTATTCTTCAAACTATCCTTTACTGAATGTCATTCCTGCAATTCACAATTCATAATGTGATTTCACAATGACATTGGACCCAGAGTGACTGTAATTACCTCCCTACCTCTAGTCTTTCCATCACCCATTCTACCGCTTTCCTGTGCTCAGGACTTTCAAGACGACAAACGCCTGCGTCCTCCAGACACCCTGTGCCTCTCTAGAACTTGGTCCTCAGTCTCAGTGTGCTCTCCTCTCTGCTGCCTGTGGCCCAGGGAAAGTCTGGGCTGACTCTGCCACCGTCCCTTAGTTTCTGATCTCATGGCATCGTTACAAATGCTGCAAGCCTATTTTTGCTGTTTTATCCAATAAGAATCAATTTTCCTTTTTCTCTTCATACAAAATTTATAGTCATTCTTCAAAGAACAGTTCAAAGACTGCTTCCTTCCTGGGCCTTCCCAAGTAATTCTTCCCTTTTCTCAAAGATCCCATTTTATTTATTTCAACCTCAAATATTAATTCTAACATGAATCATATACCTGTGCTATTTATGATTATTTTATATGAATACAATATTTCTAATATATTTTTTTTTTTGGATACTGGGGGTTGAACCTAGGGGCGCTTAACCACTGAGCCACATCACCAGCCGTTTTCTTTTATTTTTTCTTTGAGACAGAATCTCACTAAGTTGCTGAGGCTGCCTTTGAACTTGTGATCCTCCTGCCTCAGTCTCCCAAGCCGCTGGGATTATAGGCGTGCACGACCGTGTCTGGACAATGTTTTTTATTTTATATTCTTTGTCTATTTAATTTATAATATGATGCCATCCATGTATCTAGTAGACAACCAAAAATTGTTCACTGAGTTATATCAGAAGAAAAGTGTGATCTTCTACATTTGTAAAGTGTGTTCGGAATTTGGCTCTTCTAGGGCAGACTCTAATTTCCTAACTTGATAATTCTTTTTAGTTAGGGGGTTATTTTTTGTAAGAGTTTATTAGACTTGTGTTTATATTATTCTTTCAAAGGAGAGTTGGTGTCACTCAGCTTTTACAGACTAGTTTAAAGGAAGCTCTGAGTTAACAGGTGAATTGCATCTTGGCCACTTTTTCCATTTCCTTCTTCCCATCTTCATGTGGGTGACTGTTGACCTTGGTCTCTGATTTTCTCTCCTTCTAAGAGAAGCTGACTAGAGGTGAAAAGGTGGAATATGTGAATTAGGTTAAAGAGAGAGAGAGAGAGACAGAGAGAGAGACAGAGACAGAGACAGAGAGACATAGGTATTTTACTGTAGGGTCTCACCTACCCCAGGAGGTTCTGACTATAAATAGACTTTCATGAAAGGACCTTGTAGCAAGGAGTTTTCTTTATTCTTACTTATTTATTTATTTGCTTTCATCTTTTTTTCCAGGCCTCTGTGTATCAGTGGAGCCCAGAGACTCAGGGCATCATCTTTAGCTCCATCAGCTACGGGATCATCCTGACTCTGATCCCAAGTGGATATTTGGCGGGGATCTTTGGAGCAAAGCAGATGCTGGGTGCCGGTTTGCTCATCTCTTCCCTTCTCACCCTCTTCACCCCGCTGGCTGCTGATGTCGGAGTGATCCTGGTTATTGTGGTCCGGACAGTCCAGGGCATGGCCCAGGTATCCAGATGCTTGCTCATTCTGAGTGGGGTACAGATTCCCAGTTCTGCGAAAGAGCAGAAGTCATACCGCTTTTCGTTGCAGGGAATGGCTTGGACAGGCCAGTTCACAATCTGGGCCAAGTGGGCTCCTCCACTGGAACGAAGCAAGCTCACCAGCATTGCGGGCTCCGGTAAGGGCAGGCACGCGCCCCAGGTTTGCCAACTGGTCCAGCCTTCAGTGGCCTTCCCTCTAGAAATCAGAGGGCTTGGGCAAGAGGGGAAAGTGCTACTGAAAATTCAAGAACATGGCCAGGTACATACGGAAGGAGGGGGACATCTGTGCGATAGAGACACCGGGGCTGAGAAGCAGAAAAGCCCCTGGGAGCCCGAGTCCAGCAGCCCTGTGGGAGAAAGGCTAGAGCTTTAGGGATGGCACAATGGAGGAGGGCAAGTGGACCATCTGAACTCCATTTTAGCAAGGACACTGATGTGAAAACCAAGGCCACCAGAGCTCAGAGCGGCAAGGAGATGAGTTCCCAGTGCCTGAGCCATGGGAGCCACTTCGCTTTCTGCACTAAGGAGTCCTCGCCTCGGCCCTCTGGTGTGAGGCGACTTCCTTCTCCGGGGAGGGGAGTTAAGGGAGGTGGAGATGAAATAAAGACCCAAATGCAAAGAGCCAGTAGGCAGTACAGCTGGGACTTGAGCCTGGCAGTCTGGTCCTGGTGCTGGACCTCCGTCCAGCGTGCCTGGTCCTGTTGGGCCCTCTACCGCCTCGCTGCTTTCCCCAACCCGAGGAGCAGCACTGCAGAACCGCTTTCCCTTCCAGCTCCTCACCCCCAGGTCCCACAGGCAACCACATCTGTGAGATCCCCTCACAGCAGCTCTCCTGTCGGTCAGTGCCGTCCCCACCTCCTGTATTTCAAATGCTCCCAGCTGGTCCTGTCCTCTAGATTGGTTTCCTCCAGGCTCCTCTTCCCATCAAAGCCAAGTTATCTTCTTAAAGTTCGGATGGAGCATCTCTGCTCCATTTCCTGGGCATCCTCAGAGTGCTCCTTTATGATCAAGGAGTGGAGAACAGGAGGCCGTGAGGGTGCTCTGCCCTCTGGTCCCAGCCTGCGTTCCACTCAGCTCCCTCTGCAGCAGGGCTCTGCGGGCTTCAGTCCCCCAGGGTCCCCACTCATCCTCACTCTGCTCCCCTGCACTCTCCTCCACGGGCTTCTGTCCCTGAAGAGTTCCCTGACCCTGGTCTTCTTGCCTACATGCCACCATCTTATTGCTTGGCTCATATAAAAAATCCTTCCATCTTATAATCACTGTTAGTTTATCCTCATGGGTATTTCCATAGAAAACATTATAGCTTTATTGTCATATTTCTATCCTAGACCATTTTCTGAGTTGGAGACTGAATTCTATAACCCATTAATAAATGATGACCACTAAGGGGTCATAAAGTCAAGTTAGAGGGTAAAAATCACTAAAGAGTGAAAATGAATAGAATAGACGCTGCCGGGTGCTTTGCCATGGTAAAGGTAGGTATTGGTTCATGAGACTTTGGTTGGAAGCATGTGTGTGTCGTTGTGTGACAACTGTCTGCCTATTTGGTGTATGCCATGTTGCTGTGTAAGATGTATCTCCTGCCATGAGTCTGCGGAATATGTTGTGGTTGTTTCAAGGTCTACAGTGTATTATACTTGGGATAGTGGGTTTTTCCCTCTGGACCAAAAGGTCCTGAGGACAGGGGCTGTGGCTTATTAATTTCTGTGCCAAACTCATATGGTGCCGTGGGACATACTGGTGAGCTGTGATTGAAGAGTTTCTAGGACAAACTAGGGGGCTTAGCGCTGGCTGCATTGACATGGGGAGTCAGTGAAGACCAGGGACATGTCACTATTATTTATTGATGCCAGTCACCTCGCAGTGTTAATGGGAAGAACTGTGAGCAGGGACCATGCTCCCACCACTCAGTAAGGCTGAGTCAGCCGCCTCACCTCAGGGACAGGGTCCGGAGGGCTAGACAGTCTCGCCTTTGCTGATTTCCTAAGTGTCTTCTCCTGTTCCCTTCAGGGGCAGCGTTTGGATCCTTCTTCATCCTCTGTGTCGGGGGATTGATCTCCCAGGCACTGGGCTGGCCTTTTATCTTCTACATCTTTGGTGAGTCATCATCTCTGAGATCCTAACACCTTCCTGGGCATTGGTTTTGATACACCTTCTTCTCATGTTAAGAGAAGATATCCTCATTAAGTGGAAAATGAGGAAGAACGTCAAGGTTTGGTAACTTTCTTAATCTTTGGGGACACCCCATGCACAGGGCAGAGGAGATAACTCCGCACTGGTGCCAGCTTCTGACCAGTCAGCATGAAACCTTCCCCTTCTGCCCCATGCATCTGCTCAGAATCTGCACATCCAAAAGGCCTGGGCTATGTGACTGAGATGTCACAGCTGGTTGAGGACATCTTCAAGACGTCTTCACATTGTGATATAATTGTTCTGCCCATGATGCCGTTAACCTGTTCTCTACAAGCTGAATCTTTCTAAGCTCAATTCAAACCTCTCCTTCTCCAGGGGGCCTCCCAGGACCTACGCCACCGGATCCAGCTGTTCTCTCCTTTATGATCCTGACTGATATTTCCTCTCCGGGTTATGGGGGGGGGGGTGCAGTCATCTGTGCCCCCTTCTCATTTTCCTTCTAGATTGGGCAATGCTTGAGGCAAGGAGTCATTAGATAATAAGTTCTATTTATCACTTTGATGACATCAGAGTGTCTGAATCTTATCTTTAAAAAAATGGATGAATACTAGTGGAACAAATCAAAAGAGCATGAGTCCCCAAAGTATTTTACCATAGAATATTATTCCAGTGACAAAGCCCAGTACTGAGACAAGTTTCTACCATTGTTCTTTTTATCAGAGCCACATGGTGTCAATAAAGATGGCTCTAGCTTGGGTTGCTTTCTCATTAGTGAGGCTAACCCCAGATGTTTGGTGTCACACGTTAACCAGGTATTATCAAGAAGTATTTCCTCTGGGAATCCGTAATGGATGTGGTTTGAATACAAATAACACTCTTGCAAATGTGCTGGAAATCATTCTGGCCACACTGACCTCCTGGCAGGTTGATTCATGTATGTGTAAGTGCTTTCTGTCTTTGGTCCTGACTCTTCTGATCTTCCCAAGCAAGGCAGTAATGTGTGTAGTGCAAAGTTGCTGCTAAAACACATACTACTATAAACCTGAGAACGAATAGTCGGCTGGCAATGGTTGGCTCCTGCCCCTGACATCTGTAGAGGGCTCTATTGTTGACAAAAGGCAGATCTGCACTTGGGGGTGGTATCTGAAAAGGTTCTGTGGAGGAAGTAGCTTCATAGGATGGGCAGAAAGAAATGGAAAATCTATGCCTTCGAGGTGGCATGCTAAAATGATACGGTGTGGTGAAGAAAGGCAGGACGCTGCACAGGACACTGCCCCCACTGGTGCACACACCTACCTGGAGACTAATGTGTCCCTACTTCCCAGGTAGCATTGGCTGTGTCTGCTGTCTCCTGTGGTTCACGGTGATTTATGATGACCCTACGCATCACCCGTGCATAAGTGCCAGGGAAAAGGAGCACATTGTGTCCTCTCTGGCCCAGCAGGTACAATGGCCCTCCCAACCCGTGGGCCATGGGGAGGCGCCCGGGCAGGTGTGGGCCTCCAGATAGAGGTGTTCTCTAGTCCGTCCCATCCCCAAGCTGATTAGATATTTCCTTTCAGCCCAGTTCTCCTAGACGATCTGTCCCCATAAAGGCTATGGTCAGATGCCTGCCGCTTTGGGCCATTTTCACGGGATTTTTCAGCCATTTCTGGCTGTGCACCATCATCCTAACGTACCTGCCAACCTACATCAGCACTGTGCTCCATGTCAACATCAGAGAGGTGAGTAGCTTCCTGTACTTGTGTGCAGTTCGTGACCATGACAAGAGCTCGGTGCCTCCTGCTGCATTTTGTCTTTGCTTCTAACTTGAAGTTGAGTCTGAAAGTGGCCCTGCAGTGATGCCCATGTCACAGACGTGGAGATGGGACACGGGCGGGATGACTTGCCTGAGGTTGCAGGACTGACAATCAGAGCTGCTGCAGCCTCTTTGCCCTAACCACTCTGCTACACTGCCATGCCACCTGCATCTAAAGCGTCTCTTGGAAACTAGTGACACTCTCCCTGGAGACCAGCTGGAGGGGTGCTGTTTCTTTCACCTTCCCGTGTGGCGAAGGATGCACGCTTTCCTCAAACAACTCAGGAGGATGGGGACAGGCTAGTGGCTGGTCTGTGTGACTGAACACTGGGGGCTAAATTTGCGTCTGTAACTACTTGTCCGATTTCCTTCCTGCAGAGTGGGGTTCTGTCCTCCCTGCCCTTTATTGCAGCCTCAAGCTGTACAATTTTAGGAGGTCAGTTGGCAGATTTCCTTCTGTCCAGGAAACTCCTCAGCCTCATTGCCGTGCGGAAACTCTTCTCGTCCCTGGGTAAGGACAGGCAGGAAGGAGGGTTCAGGGCAGCAGGCCCTTTTCAGCAGTGGCCTGAGGGGGCTGACAGGTGTCCTCACTGCCCAGGGCTCCTCCTTCCATCACTGTGTGCGGTGGCCCTGCCCTTCGTGGCCTCCAGTTACACCATGACCATCGCTTTGCTGATACTCATTCCTGGGACCAGCAACCTGTGTGACTCGGGCTTCATCATCAACACCCTGGATATTGCCCCCAGGTAGGAGCTCTGCCTGTCTCCCTGCTCCCGGGCACTCGGGCGTTAGGCCTCAGCCATCACCCCGCGGAGCTTCCCAGTTACTGACGTGCGCCAGACGGAGGCGGGAAGGAAGTAACTGGCAATGCAGTTCACGACCATGACCTGATGTAGCATTCTTACAACAAACTCCCAGCAATCATTTAGATAAATAGCTTCTCAAGCTCCCGACCAGAGATTAGACTGTGTGCTTTGGGAAAGGGCCCAGAGACATGTGTTTTGGAAGTTTCTAGGGTGCTGACTGCATTGGCTACCACGCATGGATGGAGCATTGAGAGCCGACCCCTGTGCTAGAACCTTCTTATAAACCAGCACACCTAATCCTTACAGCTGTGCCCCCAGTGCAGGCAGAAGACTGGGGCAGGAGGGGTCACGGGGCCTGACTGTGGTTGCACAAGGCAAGAGCCGGACTAGGACCCGCACGGCTTGGTCCCCGAGTCTGTGTCCTGCCCTGTAAACTGCCTGCCAGGCTGAGTGGTGGGGTGGAGAAACTCAGCCACCCAGAGAATGGACCTCTGGTATTGTGGTTATTGACCCAGGGGGCAGGTGATTTCATGGTTGGTGAATACATCTCACCCTGATGTCCTTAGGAAAGCCAAAAGCCACACTAGGCACAATGATGTGCCATTAGAGAGGGGTTCACTGAAGATGAATTGTGCAGAAAACACAGGGGGCTTTGCACATCAATCCACCCGTAAAATCATCTTCTCCACAGATACGCAAGCTTCCTCATGGGGATCTCAAGGGGATTCGGCCTTATTGCAGGAATTGTCTCCTCCACGGCCACCGGATTCCTTATCAGTCAGGTTGGGATTGTTATTGAACATCTGCAAGTGGCAGGTATCATTTGAGGCGTTGGACATACACACGGTGCTCTTAAGTCGGTGGGGTCTGATGGGGGAGCAACAGGCGTGACAGGTACTCCCTGATCCACGCACCTGTAAGTCAGACGCAGAGGTCAGGTTTCCCAGCGGGAGGAAACAAAGGCTGGGTTTCTGAAAGTGAAAGGCTGTCCAGTTCATGGCAATGGGCCCCTTGGGTGCAGCAGATGGCAGGTCTGACTTCCTGTGCTGAGAAGCAGGAAGTCCTGAGTTCTGAGCACAGTGAACGACAGGTGTCATAGGAGCAGTAGACGGAAGGCAGGGGAGAAGGAGGAGAGTCACCAAGACTCTTCAGGCTGAAACCACAAAGGGAACATAAAGTGTCCAAGGCTAGTTTGAAGAGACTGAGCTGTGGGGGAGAGTATGCTGGGCGTGGTGAGGAGCCTGCCATGAGGTTTGCTCCATGCTGGGGACCCTGAGTAGGAGAGGAAGGCAAGGGAGAAGGAGGAGCCAGGCTGGGATGGAGGCTGAGGAGGGTCAACTTTCAAAGCAAAGTTTTGTTTTTATTACATCAGGTTAATTTTGTGTTGGGGGCGGGGGAGGGGGCGGGATTGAACTCAGGGGCACTCAACCACTGAGCCACATCCCCAGGGCAATTTTGTGTTATATTTAGAGACAGGGTCTTTCTGTGTTGCTTAGCACCTTGCTTTTGCTGAGGCTGGCTTTGAACTCGCGGTCCTCCTGTCTCAGCCTCACAAGCCACTAGGATCAAGGCGTGTGCCGCCGTGCCTGGCCATCAGGTTGATTTTTGAACCAATTGCTGAGAACCTGCTGTGACCTCAATGCTGGAAATGACTTGAGACATTCTAGGGCTGGGTGAGGAGGGTCGCTTAGGCAGACCAAGTGTAAGCCATGTGTCCCTGAGATGTCTACCTGAGGGATGGTTGTGATCGATGCCCAAACAAGGACACAGCCATGGGGTCTTGATGATGCCATTTTAGGCACAATTGGGAGTAATACTAAATTTTCATGAATGTTGAAATTCAAATTCTAGGGAAACGTTAGTGTCATTGGATTTATTTTTGTTAAAAAGATGACCATCCCAACTCAGAACCCATGTGCATTCAGAGGGACCTTGTTTCCTTCAGTTTCATGGACCCTCTACTGACTGAGGATGTTAAGTGTCTCCTGCACATTGTCCATTACATTCTTGGTGGTCAGCATCGTAGTGCACAACAGAGAGGATTTCTGTAGCTGCTGGAGGAGGAACTTGGGAGATTAATGATTGCCATGTTCTTATGTCCAGGATTCTGAGTCTGGATGGAAGAATGTATTTTTCTTGTCTGCTGCGGTCAACATGTTTGGTCTGATCTTTTACCTCACATTTGGACGAGCAGAAATCCAGGAGTGGGCCAAAGAAAGAACTCTCACTCGCCTCTGAGGAAGTGGAGCTGCACACTTAACTGTAGTACTGACTCTTGGCTTTTTGACATTTTTTACTTATCACCATTCTTTCTTTACATTCCTGACCATAGACATGGAGGAGCTCAACTCTGGCTGAGTGTTCTGCCCTCTTAGGGAGCCTTCAGCCATATTCTGGTGCCTGGGGCCTCCTCCAGAGATTCCAAAGGAATTGGCCTAGGGTGGAGCCCAGATACCACTAATTGTTAGACTCCCAGGAATTTCAACATGCAGCATCTGTATTGACAATTGCTGAACAAGGCTGAGAAGTCAATTCCTGTTGCTTTCAAATTTTCCTCTTTGGGAAGTACTAGATAAATAAAATCTATGTGAAAATAATCACTGATAAATACCTTCATGGGTGTGGTTATGAACACAGAGATCTGCTGGGAATTGCAGCCATATGCCAGAGAACTCAGCTCAGACCCCAGTTTTAAAACTGTAATCCAGAGAATTAACATTCATTGTTTTTATATGCTGTGAAACATAGATGCTTATTTATGTGGTTTAATTCTACTAACATTTACATGCTAAAATTAAGCAGGGCATTTCAAATCTATTTAGATTTGGATTATTTCCATCAGGCAAAGCAGATATCTGTTCATTCCAGCTAAACTCCAGATTAAAACCAGAAAATGACCAGGAAAAGATTAAGTGAATGAGGTTAGCTAGAATTCAGGGAGATATGACAGAATTGGAAAGCTCTTACTGTGATGTGTGGGCAACAATGTGGGCACAGGGAGATGTTGAGACCAGGTAGTGAAAATCCCAGGGAGGGGAGAGAGGCATTTTCAGGGGAAATGACAATTTATATGGGGGAGGAAACTGCTAAAGGTGTGAAGGGATACAGCAAGGCCCAGAAAGGTAGGACTTCAAGGGAAGCTCCTGTGAGCCCAGAGAGGTCATTCTGCCTTCTCCATGTTCTCCTTAGTTTCCCAAGACTCTCCCTCACCGTTGGTCCAACGGAAATCGATTCTGGCTCCGACACCTCAAACCTATCCTCCAGGTCATCTCCACACATAGCATATTCTGGTTTGCCTCAACTTTTTTAGAGAAGTCCCCACCCTATGTAGAGCCCTGTTAGAACCACAGGACCAGAGCCACAGGGAGATTCAGCAGGTGAAGAGAATCTCCCAATGCTGATCGGCAGGCTATTTTGTGAGATGTTTTAAGGAAAATGGAGGGTGAGGCCCACAGGGTGACGCTAATATGAGAACACATCTGCTGTCCGGATATTGACAATATATTGAAAAGGAGGATTCTTAGAAAACTCAAAGAAGAAAAGAGAAAGATAGTAAAGTGAACAGGAAAATTATATGCAGGACATTTTTTTTTTTAAAAAAAAAAGGGGGGTGGGAAGCAACCAAATAGAAAAATGGGCAAATGACTCAAACAGGGACTTCAAAAAAGAGAAATCTAAGTTGCCCATCTGTATAAAAAATGCAGTCAACTTCAACAGTTACTAGAAAAATGAAAATCGAAGCTCAAATGAGATACCATGACCCACTTAACAGGATGGATAAAATACAACAGCAGATGTTGGCACAGGTGTGGGGCAGTTGGAACTTTGTACACTAGGAATGTGAGTGTAAGTTAGAACTTTGGACAGCCACTTGGCAAGGTCTCCTAAAGCTAAGTGGGCGGTTTCCACAACTCAGACATTTTGTTTAGAATTTCACACATTTGCAAAAACATGCACAGCTATGTTCATAGGAGCCCTACCGAGAGTGGCCCAAAGAGGAGAGAACTAAGTTATCTGGAAAGAAGAGAATAAATAAATAAGCCATGGTCCACTCACCCTACAACAAGGATAGACAGACCTAGATGCACACCAGCACCGATGGTTCTCACGATACAACACGAGGAGAAGAAAACAAAAAGTGCATTTTGTAAAACAGACAAAATGAACATATCCTGTTAATAATCAAATTAGTGACTTTCCTCGGGCAGTGGTGGGAGTCGTGCTTGGATGGGGACTGGTGATATCTTAGCTCTTGACACTTGTATGGTGGCTCAACATACAGGAATGTGCCACTTGGTGAGAAGTGTCCATCTCTGAGGGTGCACTTTTGTAAAGGTGAAAAGTAAGACATTTACTTGAAATATGTTCAACATTTCACCCATTTCAAAGTTTCTCTTCTCTCTTTGGCTTAGGTGTGACCTGCGGAGCACTTGGGAAGGGGTCTTGATCCTCTCCTTTCACGTTCCTCTTTGTCCCCCTCTCTCCTCCCCTGATGGATCCTCTAGCATCAGAGCAGGAGGGACGCATCGGGCAATCCAGTTGTCAGCTCTCGGACCAAAGGCCAAGTTCCCAAACAGCAAAATGATGAGCTCAGGCTTCCAAGAAGCCATGAGCCTGGAAGCCCCGGTTTCCTTGAGAGGTAAGCACCACACCACGGTGGCCTGCGGGACTGGTTGTCTGGGTGTTCTGGTGGACACCTGATAGATAGCATCCGCGTCAGAGACTCTCAGGCACCTTTCCCTGCTTGACGGTTTGAGGAAGAATCACCATTCACGTTTCCTAATGGCTTCAGAACGGAGGCGACTGTGAGCTGGCAGAAAGATCTGTGCCCTCCCTCATCCCTATGAATTGTTGTAACATGAATGTGCACACAAATTAATCCACTTTCCTCAAATAGCTTATTGCCATCTATTTAACAGTGAGATAATCTTCTCAGCTGTTAAAATATCATGAATTATATTAACATTTCTTAATGTCGAGCAATATTTTCCTTGATATTCTTTTACAGTGGGCTTTGATTCATTAACAGTTTATTCAGGGCTTGGTCTGCTGTGTCGGCATGTGGTCTGGCTCTGTATGATTTTGCTTTGTGTGAACATCAGGTGTGGAGATGAGGCGCATGCCCAATTCACAAAGAGAAAGAGACACTTTCCTTAAGCCCTACACCCTGAAAATGATGAACTGCTATTTTTTAAATGACTCTTTTTATCTAAAGACTTGAAAGTGTTAATTTATAAAACTACGTAGGCTTAAAGCCATTTTGAGGAGAGTTCTTTGATAACTTTCTCAATTTCCTTCATTGTATTGTTCTTTTAAGTAAGGGTGTTTACATTTTCCTTGATCAATATTGACTATTTTCATTATGTTGAAGGTCAATCCATTTTAAACGTAATGTAAAATGCTTTGGCAAAATATTCAAATGTTTTGTCAAATTATGTCTTCATAATATACTCATTTTTATCCATATCTGAGGTTTTGGCTTCTTTTTTACTTTTGAAATGATGTGTATATACTTCTTTCTGCTTCATTGGGCCACTTAGTAATTTACTGATTTTGTTTTTATATTTTATTTTATTTTGGTACTAGGGATTGAACCCAGGGGGTTTAACCATTGAGCCACATCCCCAGCCTTTTCTAATTTTTTGTTAAGAGACAGGATCTCATTAAGTTGCTTAAGGACTTGCTAAGTTGCTGAGGCTGGCTTTGAACTCACAATCCTCCTGGAGACTGCCCAGAGCAGATGGGGATTACAGGCATGTGCCACCGAGACTGGCTAATTTACTTATTTTAAATATTTATTTTTTTGTTTTAGGTGAACACAATATCTTTTTTTTTTTTAAAGAGAGAGAGTGTGAGAGAGAGAGAGAGAATTTTTCAATATTTATTTTCTAGTTCTCGGCGGACACAAAATCTCTGTTTGTATGTGGTGCTGAGGATCGAACCTGGGTCGCACGCACACCAGGCAAGCGCGTTACCGCTTGAGCCACATCCCCATCTCCTAATTTACTTATTTTAAAGATAGATTGTCTTTTGACTTTATAATTTTTTAACTTTATCTTTTACCAATCTTATTTCCTACTTCTCTTTATTTTATTGACAAGTTTGTTTTGAGTACTTAGTGTATTTTCATTCACATCTACTTAATTATGAAAAAGGTTAAGTCTCAGAGGGCCGTCCGTTCTTCTCCAACTCACTTTTGTGGGCAGATTGCATTTTGATGTATTGTGCCTCTTTCATGGTTTTCTTGATACTTTAATTCTGCAGTTAATAACCCATGGAGTAAAGCAGCCACGGTGCCTTCCCTGTGCATCCTCTCATAACCGATGATGCAGAGTTCCTTTTTTTTCACATTGAGAAAAAGTGCTTTTTTTTTTTTTTTTAAGTTTGTATCAGTGAGGATGTTTGTGTTTAGTTATTAAAACCATCCTGGCTTGGGTAAGCATGGGTAGGTTATTCACAGACACTGAGTGGAAACAGGGTCAGATGCTGCCGTGTCTTAGCTGCCGATGGCTCCCTGCTAAAACCAAGGGGACATGAACCAGCAGCGTCCATTCTCCTATCTCCCTGCTCAATATTTAAGGTCTCCCAGAGAATGGTTGGTGACATTTAGGTCACACTCAGTGGGCAAGAGTTCTCCAAGATAAAATATTAGAGATATAAAGTCAATTATTCCTTTTTAAAGTATGAAATAGGACCAGTTCCACCTAAGCCAGATACCGCTAAAGCAGAGTGAAGACACTTTTTTTCCAGGGACTCCTCCTCGCTGCCCCAAGTACCTCTGCAAGCCTCAGGACCGGATGGACGCAGGGAGGCCAAGCGTATGGAGACCCTGGATAGGATCCTTCTTCACGACGTTGCTTGAAAATTCAGGCCAGTCTGGCACTGGGAGCTCCACTATTTTTGTGGTTCTCAAGACTAGTCCTGGGAATGAGTGCCATTTATAGAGTGGCACAGGAGGATGCTGGCACACAACGGTTGGATGTAAATGTGTCCTTGTCCTCATACAGATAGATATGGGAAGGGACCCAAATGCATCAACAGGCTCAGAGTGGTGACCGAGAATACTATTTATAGGACCTAGATACTAGGGCACAGGAAGGTTGAGGACTCTTTCAAGCAGACACGTCGTTATTCCCACATTCTTTCAAATCTGATCAGCGCCCGTGTTTGTACTGAGTTCTTGTCCAGAAGAGCTGCTTGCTTCCTGGCTGCTCAGGAGCGGTGTGCAGAGCCGACGGCAAGAGTGAACTCCGGCTTACTTTGCGGGTTGCCCCATTTCTGTCCAGAAATCATAAGAAGCCAGGTGACCTCTTACCACGAGTCCTAACTAAACA